GGGGGGGGGGAATAGTTTTATTTCAATGGTTGTTAAGAAGGGTTTTAAATTTACCCTTAATTAACACGCCTTAATTCATGCAGTTGTGGTTCATCAATACAGCGGGAAATCCTTAGATATGACATACCCATCGGAATTCCAATTTTGAGAAAATTGCTCATCTATTTAGTGATGATCGCGAGGTCAGTTTGTATCATTAATATTTGTTAGATAATCCTTTTGATAACTGAATCGTAATCTTTCGTTTGCAACTATTTTGCCCCAATTTATTTTTCGTTTATGCAAAATGTGATGCATCGTTGTCTCGGCCTTAGAATGTTTGAAGTCTGCCGAGAATAAACTTTGCTTTATCATGCACACGTGTGTAATTTGCTAAGTTAATTAATGTTTATTCATTAAGTACCAGCGAATTGTGCCATTGATGAATATAGCAGCATCATGCAGTGATTCAGATTTCAGGGCAGTGATTTAATTTGAATTTTGAGGGAAAAAAATTGTTTGTTTTTCTTTATCCTAAATAGTTTATTGGGCTTGATAATCTTAATTCTGTCTGATGATAAATCATAAAAATGAACCAGAAAAATGATGCAAATCTTGTTTAGTGGGGATAAAAATCAGATTTAGCAGATTTTGATAAAAATTTATAGAAATGTGCAGTTGTAATATTGTGGATCTCATGAAATATGTCTATTGTCTTTGCCATAGATTAAAATTTTAATTTTAATTCCTGCCAAACATGGCTTTAATATGGTGTTCGTGATGCTCTTTTTCATAATTAGTATGTAATTCTGTGAATAATACAAAAATGATTATGTTTGAATAGTTTCTGAAGACATGAGCAATAGGTGGAGGAAAGGATTATGTAGATGATGTAATAACAAATATGCAGTATCAAATATAGAAGAGATATTACTATATGTATCATATGTTAAATGTCGCCTTTTACACTAGGAGGAACAGCATGCATATCCAAAGAGAGAAACAGTCAAAACTACTTGGTAAACAGTTTCCTGCAATGCCTCTGTGGCCAATCATGCAGACCGTTAACTTTAATCATGGTTACCTCATCAATCAGGTCTTTAAAGATTAGGCGCTCAATGTCTAACACCAAAGCTGGAATCTCACCAATGTAATTTGTCCAATCTGCTGATCGATGCATCATATCTGCTGCTATGATTCTGTCCAATCCATCAACCTTTTCATCAAGGCAGCAACCTGGCTTCCTCTGTAGACAGTCCACCTCTAATTGTAGTGCTTTTAGAAGCTCCTGTTGGTTCAAGCTTTTTCTTCCTGACACAATTGATCCCTCTGAAGAAAATTTGCGGACAAGTAATTCATTGACTGTATCGAAAACAATTTTCCTGTGCATTTTCTGGTTTATGTTTAACTGAGTATTTGCTTCATTGAACTCTTCATCTGCCAACTCTATCCTTTTCTCCATTTGTTCTAGGACACAGAACAAGTTGGGGTTGATCACATTGCATGATGAGTGGAGCTGGTTGGCCATTGGAACGTAACTATCATCGTTGAGGAGTCCTGATGCCAATAATATCTTAAAAATATATTGCTGATCTGGATTGGAGCTCTCATAGACAGATGGATTGTGATATGTAGCAACATCATCAGGAGTGGTGTTCAATGATCTAAGAATATAAGCTAACTGCTCAATATCTTCTTCATCTGGACTTGGACCATCATCCTCTGTGCAGGTAGAAACAAAACAAAGGATACTATCCGTTAGTCAAATGATTTAACTTGCAATCTTATCATATGTAAGCGAACAATGTGTTTGCACTGTACATGGAAGCATTATTGTTTTGAATTTGAACATTTCTAGGTTCAATCTGGTCCAAATTACTTTTTCTACCTGGAATAATCCCTCTTTTTCTTTATTGATCTTTTTTTTTTTTTTTTTTGACCAAATTGATTTCATATGATTTCAATCTCGAATAATTTTTATGTGACATTTCAATCTTAATCATAAAAAAATGCTGTACGCTAATTCCCTTTATTTAATTACTAGAAAAACTAAGATGAGAAAGGATAGCTATTTAAGTTGCAAGAGATGTCGTTCTAGAATGTTTATTTTGATATCTGTATCTCATCACACAAAGCATCTTTTTATAAATTTACTGTCTGCTATGTTCATATTAATTTTTGTTTCCATTCAATAGGTACCTAGCTCATTTAACCTTTCTTGTTGTAAGTAGTCTGAGTTTTGATACTCAAAGACAGATGAACTTATAGCAAGAGCAATACCTTTAAAAGTAGTTAATATCTTCTTCACGGGAGATGGTGATTCATCTCCAAAAAATGTTGCATCAAGAACTGAGACCGGACTTGGTTGTTCCATTGTAGTTGTTGCGAGTTCTACTTTTGATGGCGTGCATTCTTTCAACCTTGCTTCAGGATTCTGAAGGCAAAAAGTTAAACCTGTAAGCTAGTGAGGTTGAACAATGAGACACAGACCAAGAGAAGGTCACTTACTCTAAATTTAGGTTCCTTGTGTTGTTTATCATTCATCTCGATCAATTGAACCAAGCTTGTAACTTCTGTTTCGATCTGTGATTCCAGGCTATTGTTGCTTTCTGACTTTACTGAAGCCGTATCAACTTGGTACAAATTGGTTGATTTTGGTTTGAGTTTTCTATTCGAGTAGCCTAATCCTTCAAATTGCGTACTGCACGGGTTTCTGACCCTGCCTGAATCTGAAGATGGAGTGGTGGGATGATATTGTCTATCAGTTGCGTGCTTCTTCTGTTGTGATCGTGGGCTCAACATTCCCGAACTCCTTCCAGAAGTACTGATATTTTCGACCTTAATGTGAGGAGCTGATTTTGAGGTTTGATCTACTTTTAAACCTCCTGAATTATTCTTATTGTCAGCTGATGGAAGAACCCAACTAGGTTCTTTGAGATATTTTCTCCTCCGCACAAGATCTTCTGTCGTTTGTCTTTGAACTGAATTTTCTCTGTTACGAGTAGAGTCTCGCTGTCGGAGTGTTTGCAAATGTGATATTTCCATAGTGGAGACCGAAGAGGATCTTGAAATCCTGACTTTGTCACTCGCTCTAGCTGGTTTCATGTTAGCCGTTGAAGATTCTGATCTCTTTGTTGGAATTGTCCCTTTGCTGGTTGGGAATTGGCGAACATTCTGTTGATCCTTCCACATTGACAATCTAGAATCTTGATTGGAGCTTCTAATTACCAAATTAGATATGCTGGTTTGAGATGCAAATTCACGCACTTCTTTTTGGTTCTCCAATCTATTTTTAGTTTTCTGCATAGCTTCAAGTATCTGTTTGAGAGCTCTGAGATCCTTCCCAGACTTCTTGAATTCAAGTTCTGTTATCCTTTTCTCAATTTCACCGAAAACAGAAGAGGATATATTTGATATATCTGTGGAAGCTTTCATACCTTTCAGAGCTCTTTTTTCAGAACCTTGACTGATATCTTGTTGCTTCCATGGAGCTGGTTCCAATGGAAACCTTGGATTCGAAATTGCTTTGTCAGCAGGATTGGCAACCAATCGGGGCGAGGCAGGTTCCTTTCGAGACACATCTGGTAAACAAGAAATTTGACTTGACTTGCCTTCGTTAGCTGCTTTTGATGATCTTCGGACACTGCCATCGATAAGACATGAGTTAATCTTTATCATCGTACTCCCATCAGTTGACATTATATTCGGAAAAGCTTCCAAACCCATTAGCTTTGCCACAACATTGGACAGTCGTTTGTTACTTCCCTCTTCGTGGTTCAAGACTCGGCTGGAATTCTCATTTTCCACGTGCAGATCCTGTGAAAGAAAATTACATTTTGTCTCAAGGGCTGAACTCTTGATAGAACCTGCTTTACTGTCCAATGATAACCTTGGGAATTCTCTTAGATTAATTTTAGACTTCACTGCATCTCGTGATTCTCTTTCATCATAAGATAGGCGAGGAAGTGCCAGCCTCTCATTCTTAGAAATTTTTGTTCCTTCTTGGAGTTTACCAAGGCCATGCAAAGGTCTTGGAGAGTCGATGTGCTTCACTTCATGGCCTCTTCTATCTTTAGCTTTGGATCTTATGGACAATCCGCGAGTTTCTCTGTACATAGAGTCCTTCACAATGTCTGGAAATGAATTTTTCTGTTCTTTCGTTATGATGGTTTGAGATGGAGTTTCAGGAATATTGCTTTGATTGGATGAAACTGCTTTCTGTTGAGCTGTTTTATTACATCCGGTGAATGGACCAGAGGAAGATGAATCTGATGCCTGGTATATTTTGCTGGAGATTCTTGGTTTCTCTTTTGGCACCTTCTTCAGATTTTTTTCCTGAAAATGTAAGTTTTCTTTAAATTTCCTCTGATTAATAACCAATGCTAGCAGAAAATATAACAAATGAGGCACATTTTTCACTTGTTTCCCAAAAGAACAATGAAATTGTTCAAAATGTTAGAGTGCGATTGGTTTGTCGTTTTGAGATCATTTTTAATTTTCAATTTTCAAACACACTCAAAACATTTTCGTATGTTATTTTTAAAAATGCGTTTTCGAAAATGAGGAAAATTTTACAACTCAAAACTCAAAATGTACGTTTTGAGTGTTTTTATTGAAAGCATTCAAAAAACTCAAAATAAGGAAAATGAATTTAAAAATTTTCCAAATTAAAATAATTAATAAAATCACACAAAACTTACTCAAATATAAGTATTAATCTCCAACTCTCTCTCTCTCTCTCTCTTCCCAAGCTCCTCCAAAATATTATAAAACTGCTTCTAAAGTTTTTAAACTAAATGTGCTTCCTAATTTTTTGTTTTGAAAAATAGTTTTTAGAATGACAAACCAAACGTGTTTTCAGCAATTTTAAAACAATATCTCAAAATAGAAAATGAATTCAAAGCTGAAAATAAAAAAGCAAAAACGCAAACCAAACGCACCCTTACTGTTGCAGTTTTTGTTGGATATTTGGGGTCAATGTCGTGGTTGGCACCTTGACAAACAAAAAAAATGGAGTACTGTTAGATAATGGTGATTGTAATGCTAGAGTTCAACTTGTCCAAGATGTGATAGAGAAAGAGGCAAGAACCGAACACTCCACATAGTAGTATTGATCGAAAATTAAATCTAATAGCTTGTGTTGCTTTTGCTATACTATACATGTAACAGTAACAATATATTTAAGTGATTTTGTGAACAAAGGTTGAAGTAAAATAAGATCTGCATTTATACTGTGATATTACAGAACAAACACGCAAATTCCCATTCAAGAATTATGAACATGCATCCCTGGCAATCTAATGCTTAAGAAGTTTACATAATATTAGATCAAAATGCAGAAATCTGCATCATGGTGAAGGCAGCATTTGTAACGACTGATTCTAAGCCTCGTATCCCTCGTGGAAGGTCTGCCTTAAGGGCACCACAGTCGATGCAGGACTCAGAAATAGTCGTTAATCCTGCTGTTCCTATAGCTAACCATTGCATGATACTCTTTTAAAAAATCGATGAATAAAATAAAACAATAACTCTGTGTGTAAAAAGACCTTAGCTAAAGTTCTTAGTTGATACAAGTTTTATTTTTGAAGTTTCTGGTTTCTTAAACTGAAAAATAGATCTTTAGAATACCTTGAAGTAGCCTTTTGTGATTGTGGCTGCTCATTCGCCGGCCAGCTAGGGAATGATGGCGATCAAAGAGCTGAAATATCCCCGTCATGCACCCGATTTGCTTCCGCAGATCCGGGTTCTCGTCTGTTAAAGAAGATATAAACTTTGCAGACATGTTTGTTTCTTTCCTGGAAGCTGAAACACAAGAAAATTGAAATCTCTGTTCGACCTTTGTGAATTCACCAGTTTGTGCCTTCAAAACTTTCACGGAGTTTCCTTGTGAATGAAGTGGACACGGCTGAGGATGATTTACCGTGGAATAAGATTGTACCTTCTATTTCTCGGGGAAATGGGGAACTCAGACAGAAGAGAAGATAGGAGACAGAGGTCTAGGAAATCATTTGTTTGATGACTGATGTGCATTGGTATAAAATGATTAACTTTTTTGGATTCCAGTGATCAAGGCACACAGCGTATACTATTGAGGGTAATAAGAAATGAAAAAAAAACTAGAATGGACCCATAACCCAATACCCACCATTATCTCCCACCTTTCTGTGTATCAAATAACTGGAGTACGAACACCCACAGAGCTAAGAAGAGATGTTTTTTCTGGGTTTTCTCTAGAGCAAAGAAGCCAGTTTATTCTTTGTCGTTTGGCTTTCTCAAGGAAAGGCTGCTGGGAAATGGAGATTAGAGCTTTTAGAGGGGCTGTACTGTTACGTATATAAAGGCAATATTTTTTTTTATTTTACTGAAAGAAAGAATGTGGGTCAGTCAGATCTGGTGTGAATATTGGAATGGGGTGGAAGGGCATACTTGTACTGGTCATTTTTATCGTGGACAATGTTTTGTGAGGTGGGTGGAGGTGGGGTTCTGGACCTCTTTACATGGCATGTGGAGTTTGTCAGTTGATATTAGAAAATGGAATCGTGTACTGGCAATCCCCCTTAGTCTAAAGCCCTTTGTCAATAAAATCATAAAAAAGTATAAAAATAAATTTAAAAAATTTGGCTTACGTATTGATTAACTGGATTTGCAACCCTCCAGGCACCAGCTCCCAATTTTCAAATCCCATTACTGTCATGATTTGTTCTGTGATGTACACCCTGCAATACTCGAAAAATACGCAAAAATCATTTTCACTGTACTTTCCTATCTAATCTCGTCCACTACCAAGCTTGATGCTGTAGAAGGCAACAAGTTATTGAGAGGTCACTCTCCAATATGCTATAAAATCATGGCTCAACATCGAAGGCAGGCAGTAATAAATTCTGCTATGAAACATCATATGGGTTGCAATAGTAATTACTGGGTAGTTGTACATTGTTTAGTTTCAGTTCTATGTTGTCGAAACTATCCAACGTTTTGTTATTTCCTCGTAAGTTCATTTAGAGCATGTTTGGTAAGCTTTTAAAGTTCACTTGTACTTAAATATGAGTTACTTGGAATTATTTTTTTTAAGAGTAAAAGGAAATAGCATCGTATTTAGAGGTAGGCGCGTATCGATTCGATTCGGTTCTAAAGAGAACCGAACCGAACCAAAATTTTCGGGTATCTAGTAAATGGAACCGTTCGAGTTCGGTTCGGTTTGGTTCCGTTCGATTCTGTACTATAATTATATTTTTTTAACATTTATAACAATATTATATAAATACAACTAATGATACATTCAATAATTTTGGAATGTCAGAGATTAGTAGACTATCTTATTCCAATGATCGCTACGGTCAAAGTTTCGATCGGCGGAGGTCACAGTTTTGATCGAAGGTCACAGTGTCGACCGACGATTGTATAGGTTTTGGAATGTTAGTGAGGCTACGAGAGTCGAGATAACGTTATGCACTTTAGTGTAGGTGTTTCTGGTTATTTCGTAGATTGGATCTTGTTGGGCTAAGAAATGAAACAATAAAATGGGTAATTGGACCAAAAATTAAAAAATTATAAATGAAACAAATTATTGGGCCAAAATTTTGGATTTAGAAATTGTTGATTTGTTTAGAAAAAATTAAAATTAAAAAATTATTCAGTTCTTGGTCTAGAACCAAGAACCGAACCGTACCCGTCGGTTCTTAATTCAAATACTCATTCGGGTATTTAATACGACAAGAACCATTAGGTTCGATTCAGTTCGATTCGGGTTCTGTTCGGTCTCGAGAGATTTGCCCAGCCCTAATCGTATCCAAATATCTTTTGTAACAAAAACAACTTTTAATTATTTCTAAACTTAGGCTATCATTATTGTAAGAAACTGATTTAACATTTTTAATTTTTCTTCTCTCTTTCCGAATTAACAGCCTAAGTTTTTTTCTCAAAAGCTGGATGGATTAATTTCTTCATTTTCTGATGTACATTTCACATATTTTCAGGCATTTATTCCAAGACCCTGATTTCAGTTTGGCATCTATTGTCAGCAAGATCTTTCTCAGTCCAGCCATACACTGGACAAGTACTCATCTTTTGTACATCGAGCTATATTCAGGTACTACAATTATAATTTCCTAAAAAAGACATTAATTTGTCGTCGTTTCTTACTAAACACGGGTTTTTTTTAAACTTTCCTTATATTGTGTTGTTGATCTTAATTTTCATTGTCCTTACTAGGAATAAATATTGTATTATATATGTTACATCCCTAGTTAAACCAATTCGGAACAAACAGTCACATCACTCCCCGAAGCTCCACATGTTCACCCGAAGTGGTTCCGAAGTGATGCCCACTTCTGACGACCTCAACATGGCGGACTGCAAGGTGAAGAGTAGATCCACTGAAGCAATCGAAGTGTCCTTCAACTCCGAAGCGTTGAGCACTCCGAGACACTCCCTTAACAGATCCTTCCGTCGCCACTATAAGAAAAATATTTGTCAGGATGTCCTCTGCCTCCGACAATTAAGTGATGTGATGTCTCCATAGGTCTAGTTGATGTGATTTATCAACTTTATGTCAACTCAACTCAGAAGAACTAATTGCTCACCCACTTTAAATACGGCTGATTGATGCCTATGAACGAATACCTTACACCGTCAAATGCATACACGTGTCCCACATCCAGCTGTGCTCTACCTCTATAAATACCCAAAATTTGACAAAAGACAAAAGTAATGAAACTCTTATAACTTAACTCTCCATACTAAGTAATATGTATTCTCCTCCCCACTCTCTCGCACAACTTAAGCACTATTCCGATCACCGAACGCTGACTTGACCGTCGGAGTGTATGCGGCCGCCACCACCACCGTAGGTTCCGACCATGTGTTTCTGACCGTGCGTTGTGCGCAGGGAAGATTACGTGGAGTAACTATCCGTTGGTCACGTGGATGGTCCGATTCTGGAGGTCAACAATATATTTGTCGAGCTGGGCTTGAATAGTAAATGAGCATAAGTAACTAATTGATTGAAAAGTGTAAATTAGTATTCATAACTCAAAGCTTTAGATGATGATAAGGATATCATATGGCTAGTTTTTGCTCTTGCCTGCAGTGTTTATGGAACGTAATATTCCCTTATCACACCAAACTATCTCAAGAATTGCCTGCCTCTTACCCTTCATTATTAAATGCTTTGTGGGTTCATCTTCATCTTTTCTTCTAATTCATAATTACCACAATCCAAAGCTTGAAATTGGATTCACCAGCATTTGTAGATTACTCTAATTTGAATTAAAGTTTGAACACAAATGTTAATTGCATGGTAGATTGCTTCTATCGTCCACTTGGTTGAGAGTGTTGAGAACAAAGTAGCGCAGGGTATATACGCGCAGTTGTAGTGCTTCATTGTCATGGACTAGACCTTAATACCTACTTTTGAGAAAAGCAATTATAAAACGAATATAACGTACATAGATCTATAGTTTTTTCAATCATGCTACACAGACATATTGGTTAACATAATTCTTGAAATAAAGATGATTGTTTAAAACGTAGTTAACTTTTTCATCCAATCATATCTTGCCAACACCTATTATATCACTCTATATGTGACAATTACATCTACTTGCATGCATTTTTTCACTATAATAACTTAGAAAGGTGACTCCATAATAAATTCTTTATAGATTAGGTATATTAAGCGATGTCAAGTATATTAAGTGATTTGATATATATGAATATTTTATATTAAGATTATTCATGATCATAGTAGACAAAGTGTACAACTTGATTAGATTATTAAATATTTTTTGAGAGAAGGTAGAAAATCAGCCTAAGAATGTAGGCCAAATTAAGTAGTGTTAGGGCCTGTTTGACAAAGTTTTTGCTTTTTGTAGTGAAGTTTCATGATGAAGCTGGTAGCTTCCATTAAAAGCTCTTCTAATTAGATAAAAAATTTCAGATAAGAGTAATTGGTACAAAACGTCCCTACCTTTCAAGTGTATTATGGAAAACATTCCTACCTTTTATTTTTTGGCATAAAACGTCCTTACCTTCCACTTTCTTGTTCCTGAACCTCATTTTCATCAATTTTTGACGATTTCACCCTCCAATCAAATAAAACAAAAAGAAAGGAAAGGAAAAAAAATAAAAAACTAATTGCAACAACATTCCCAAATTTTCTAAAAATTGCAAATGATAACTTGATAATTACCATATTAAATAAATTGAAAAAAAAAAATCAAAAAATTAACAAAAAAATTTAAAAATCCTCCATTTGCAATTTTTAGTGTGATCTCTGAAGCTCAAACAGAAAGAGAGATAGAGAGAGACTTTTCCCCAAAATAATTATTTTAATGCATAGCAAATCCTCCAAATCTGAAACTCCATTATATCTCTTTGCACTCCCCCTCTTTGTACAAGCTCCTTCATTTTCATATTCAATATCAAATCCCATTGTGCAGAGAGATGTAATGGGGCTTTGGATTTGGAGGATTTGCTGTGCAGAGAGATTTTGTATGGTGGGGTGGGTTGGGTGTGTGGGGTGGGTTGTCGTGAAGAAAAAACCCATTTTTAAAATTTTTTTCTTAATTTTTTGATTTTTTTTTTCAATTTATTTAATATGGTAATTATCAAGTTACTATTTGCAATTTTTAGAAATTTTGGGAATGTGGTTGCAATTAGTTTTTTTGTCTTTTTTTCCTTTTTTTTTCTTTTTGTTTTATTTGAATGGAGGGTAAAATCTTCAAAAATTAATGAAAAAGACGTTCAGCGCCAAGAAAGTGGAAGGTATGGACGTTTTGTGCCCAAAAATGAAAGGTATGGATGTTTTCTACAATACACTTACAAGGTATGGACGTTTTGTGCCAATTACCCTTCAGATAATTATTCAAATTTGTTCAAAAGCAAATTTTTAATTTTAGAAACAACTTTTGATTTGTTTTAAAGGTCCTACCAAACAGGCCCTTATTGTTTTATATAGGATTTCTTTCTGTTCGATAAAATTTTCTTCTCTCTGTGGCCTACCTTCTTTTCAATGTCCAACATTTTTCTTTAGTGTTTGACAGCCTAACTAAGAATTAGTAACATGAATGCATATTCTTTGGCGTGGGAAATATATGTAACGAGTCAAGATGCACTTAAAGCCAGTTTTCTCCAGCTGACATATTAGATTTTATGCAATTTTTAGTATTAAGTTTTGTGTTAGAAAACTATGACTACAAATTATTGTCACCATTGTTTGAAGCAAATGTTAATAAAGTCAACAAACTTATCTATTTAAATTTGAACTTTTAAACATGGTGGTTGAATATGATATCAAAGTTGATAAAGATTTTGAGTTCAAATATTTTGTGTATTGTCCATCTATGAAATTTTTGAACAAAAGTTATAATTGACTTGCACGTAAAAGGACATCTTAAATAAAATTTAAATATATAAA